TATGATGTGTTGTATTGTAACTATTTACATCATAAGTTTAAGTTTATAAGTTTAATAACATTTATATGCCGCCCAATCCCGTAGGACTCCGGGCGGCTTACAGTACAGAAATAAACAAAAAAGTAAGATACAGGGAAGAAAGATAGATTTAAAATACAACACATCATACACTCCATTTTGAATGGGGCTGGACCGTATTTTGGGGTCAACAGCCCCAGGCCTGCTGGAACAGCCAGGTTTTAATGGCTTTCCGGAAGGCCGAGAGAGTGGGAAGGGTCCGGCATTGCCTTCCATCCCATTCTTCTTACTCAACAGAAGACTCCCCAAATGTTTCAGCTGTGCAACTGAGCCACAGCTACCACGCCATGCTCCAAAGGCCTGGCTATCTCAGTGGGGCACCTCACCCTCCCTGCCAGCACCGTAGTTGAGAAGAGCCCTGTCGTCCCTGAAAGCAGGCAGATTTTCACCACAAGTGTGGCATCAAGGACCAAGCAGGTGCTCTCATGCCCATCAAGCAAAACAGGCTTTGACTTCCAGGAGAACATCTACTGAACGTGGCCTTCACTGGTCTCCCCGCTAAACCTTTACCGAGCGAGCATAGCAGCCCATGGTCATTCATGCAAGGGGCGCAGATGTTCTCATTAGACTTTTCTGTTGATTTTTGCCTCCGAGACGGTGCGGCAGCCCCTTCCAGACCAGGAGGCAGCCAGTGGCACTTCCCACATCTGTGGGGGGGAGGGCATCCTCCCCTGCCTTCATCACAGCCCTCCTCATGTTCTGCCCTTCTCCTTCCCCTTCCTTTTGGCAGGGAGCCCTGTGGGATGTCTCCGTTTCCACCCGCTGCCACCACATTTTCCTGGTCTTCAATAGTACCCGTGCTTAAATATTTTAATTACTACTTTTAATTATGCAAATCCAGGGAGTCACTTTCCTTCTTAATTATTGATGACGGCTTTTGGCAGTGGCATCAGAGGAAAGAGGGTAGAGGATTTTTGGCTCCGTTGACTTGAGTGTTTGGAAGACATCCTGGAATCCTAATCCTGGCGGTTGAGGGTTGCAGATCTTATGTTTAATAACACGAGGCGAAGGTGGGGTCTCCCTTCCCTTTGAATCCGGGAGCCAGGAAGAGCACGAGGTGGCCGTCTTCATTTTGCTGGTAGGGGGGGCTCAGGCAGGTGGGCAAAATGCTTCCAGGGGAGTAGGGTCTACCCCATGGCAACTGATTTGGCTGTCTGCATCTTTAGGATGTGCCAGAAAGGGACATCAGCATGAGAGGTGGAAGATCAGGAGATGTTCTGAGACGTCAGGGCTCCAAAGGCAGAAGGAACACATGCCCCAGTGGGATTTCTTCCCCCCTCCCAATTCCAAACCTGTGGGAAATTCCAGGGTAGTTGTGAGATCCAACTAGGTTATAGAGGTGGCCGCGTGTGGCCGTTCATGGCTGACCTTCTCTCTCGTCTCCCTGGTCTCTCCTGTCCTGCAGGCAAATCAGAAGTGGAGCAGTGGTCAGACATGTACACGGTGACCAGCCAGCTCTTGCTAAAGGTCAAGCGGGAGGACGATGGGGTCCCCGTTGTCTGTCAGGTAGACCACCCTGCCGTTAAAGACTTGCAGACCAAGTACTACCTTGATGTAATGTGTGAGTACCATGATCACAAGCTCTTCACTCCTACGCCTACGCTGTTTATCTCTGGGTTTCTTATACTGGATATTTGGAGTATTGAATGTTAGCTTAATGCTTTTCCTGCAGTTTTTTTTTTTTATGTCTCCTTTGAAAAAGTTCTGCTGTTCACTCTTGGGTGAATCACACAAATCTGCCTGTTGTTTTAATACAGGCATCGGACTTTCATGAACTGGCACCTTCCAGATAATTTGGGGCTACACTTTCCATAAATTCCAGCCATAGGTCCATATCAGCTAGAATCTATGAGAGGTTCAGTCCAACAACATCTGGAGGATATCAGCTTAAATAAGACCAGAGGTTCAGTATAGTTATGGGTTTCCACAAAGCCTCGAAATCCTGAAGGACATGTTGAAGAAGAATCTTCTTGCAGTAGAGGTCCTCCAGTTGTGATGGAATACGATTCCTCTGGTCTTCTGGTCTTCTGGCCATTGTGTCTTATCAGTTCCTCATTATATCTCAAAGACAACAATGTTGGCCTTAGGCTCCATTAAATCTGTGTTGAATGAACCTCCTCCTGAAGTTCAATTATCATCTTAACAGTGGCCAGCAGCCTTTGAGCTGCCCGTTCTGGGCCACTTCAGAGATCGAGCAGCAGCGAGTTCAGGTTCACCGTCAAATGAGGTTGAAATATCACTTACAGCAGCCCTTCCGGGTCCCTTTTCAACATTGGCCTGGCTCCTTGGTGGTTGACACTTCTCCAACCAACTGCTTTTCCCATTTATTCTGTTTCCCCCCCTGAATCTTTGGCTGGCAATATTGCTTGATGCTGAAATGCTGCATAGCCACGTATCCTATAAACCAGAGGTCTTCAAACTTGGCAACTTTAAGACTTGTGGACTTCAACTCCCAGAATTCCCCAGCCAGCATAACTTAGTCTCTTGTAATCCCTTCCTCTGCAATATCGCCATTTAGATCAGAGGTCTTCAAACATGGCAACTTTAAGACTTGTGGACTTCAACTCCCAGAATTCCCCAGCCAGCATAACTTACTCTCTTGTAATCCCTTCCTCTGTAATCTCCACTTAGAAATCAGAGGTCTTCAAACTAGGCAACTTTAAGACTTGTGGACTTCAACTCCCAAAATTCCCCAGCCAGCATAACTTACTCTCTTGTAATCCCTTCCTCTGCAATTTCTCCATTTACATCAGAGGTCTACAAACTTGGCAACTTTAAGACTTGTGGACTCACAGACTCACAGAATTCCCCAGGCAGCATAACTTACTCTCTTGTAATCCCTTCCTCTGCAATCTCTCCACTTAGATCAGAGGTCTTCAAACTTGGCAACTTTAAGACTTGTGGATGTCAACTCCCAGAATTCTCCAGCCAGCATAACTTACTCTCTTGTAATCCCTTCCT